TATATGGAAGTCTGTCGTGAGTTATCAATTGTTAGGCCTTCCATTTGCCATCAAAATTTATAGACAAAGTTTCATCTTGGGCAGAGTAATAGCAAACACCATAATAAAAGCAGATTGTTCTAAATTATAGCAATTCTTACAGTCTCTCGGGTTCTATCTCTTTTTTATTTTATTTTCTAAAGGAAGATAAAATTGGAACGCAAGGCTCGTCAAGATTCTATCAGATTAAATTATCATGGTAAATGTGAGAGAAAGATATCACACGATAGGTGATTCATATTTCATTTTTACTGTAGCACCCGTGTTAATTAGGTTGTAAGAAGCTAAACAAATGGTCATTGTGTTGCATCAAGACTTCCTCCATGCATGCACTTTTAGGGTGCAAGTTTTGGCATGATAAGGAGGAACACATGAACACAGCAGCAAACACAAAAAGTACACAAGGAGAGAATCTATGGCTTTGCTTTTTTAGTTTCTACCTAAAATTAGGTTCTGCATGAGAAAGATCTAAAAGCAGAAATAAGTGAAATATAGATCACATTTCCCTGAGCACTGAGATGTACCTGAAGTTCTGATTCCAGAAAGGCTAAAATAGTTGCAGGGATAATTCCTTTGATCCCTCCACCATCAATGCTGAGAATGGTGATCAAGTTACCATATGTTGGTGCTTGGATCTGTCCAATGGACTTTGATTTCTCCATGAGTAAGAATATGAACTGCTACCTGGACAAACAAAAGGAACAACAACACCTCGAACAATTATTCGCTGATCATTCTCGGAGAAGATAAAGAGGTATAAATAGAGATCACCATGAGAAGTTTGCTCCTACTGTTCTTCTTCTGACTTCCGATGAGGCGGCTCGTCAAAGTCATTAGCATGATTCAATTTTTAGGATTACATTAGCAGCACTAATGTGATGGAGAATTGTAGTTCGGAGCAAGCAACTTTCTTGAATGTTAGTTGGCTTGGGTGCGTTGAATCCTAAGTGAAAATATGCATGCGTGGTGATAAGTTCTTGTCTTCTTGCATGAGTAATGCCAAAATGAAACTCCAACATATGATAAGATCTTTAGTTTCTGGAAAGGAATAAAATCTACTTTACAGCTTACTTCAGAAATTTCCAAGTGTTGGCTTATAATTTCACTTAATATGTATATGACTGAGCCCTACAATTTTCATATGCTAAATGATGAGGTCTTTAGCAAATTAGTGCTGACAACCCTCCAAAGTTGTTTTAAACCAGACTTATTATCTTACATATGTTTTATTAGTCAGTAGGTTTTCATCCAATGTGATATGGAGCTGCATCCCACCATTTAATTGAAGATTTAATTTTCATGGAAAGTTTTTTATCAGATACTCTTGTGGAAGAAACTAGCTTTTGTCAGGAACCACATATCAACAAGTTCAATACTCTTCCTAGAAGAACCCTAATTGATAACTAGCAGTTCACAGCTTACAAGACACGGCAAGATAATATTTATAGGGCTATACTATTGTGCATCCATTGGAATGTGGATCAGAAGTAGTGCGGTCACGTGTGTCGTAGTAGATAGGAAAAGAAAAATGTAGCTATCAAGAAAGAACAAGAATAATACATAATATTTTTTATTTTACTAAAACAAACTTATTATAACTTCTTCTTTAGTATGAATATATTATATTTATATAGTCTCCATGAATATATTATATTTAGTATGAATATCTCTTCTCTAAATTTTTTTTTTAAGAATCAATAATCATTTTGGTTCATTATTCAATAATTAATTTAATTTATTCTTCTATAGAACCTTTAATTTGTTTTACCTCTTGATATAATAAATTTCGAATTAAGAAGTTTAATTTTAACATTTTTTTCTCAAATTTGTTTCATGTCAAGATTCATTCTTTTGATTTTATTGAAATATTTCCAACTTGAGGAGGAGTTTTATGAGTATATAAATCACTCCGCTTTTTTATTTTTTGATATAATCACTTCTAAAATAAAATATAATATCAATATAGTTAGACTTTTTTATTTGGTTAGATTTTCTTTTTGTATATGAAATGTCTGAAGTAGTCTTTTTAACTAAATTACATAACAAATACAAGAGGCTACTATTGTAATATATTCTGCTTCACAAATGAATAGAGTAATTATAGATTATTTTTTTGAAGACAATGTAATTGATTCACTAAGTTGAAATAGAAATCTCGTTATTGTACTAACTTTCAACTTAATCACTATTACTGAATCTAACGAGATCTAGCTTCCAAGTAGAATATGTCATAGTTAATTATTCCCTTAATATATCGATCGTAATATCCTCTTACCAACATTGAAAGTGAGATGCTTTAGGATTTTCCATAAATCTATTAAGAGATGAACTTTACATCTGCAACTTTGTCTTTGCTGTGAGACTCAAAGACTTCCTGCTCTAACTCGTCGATAGGTTAACGACAAAGAAAGTAAACAGATATAGTAATTGCAAAAGCAACAGAGCATGACTTCAGTTTTGGCTAAGTGGCAACGCAAAATTGTGATGTTTTAAGCATCAGACTTGGAAGGAAACCCATTGTAGGCAGCAAAAGAAAGGAGAAAAAATCAATGGCAAGTTGTCATCTACATTTACTTTTTTATCTTCTAAATATCCTATCGTAGAAAACTACATTACGGGATTAAAAAGATATATCCTTCATTTTGACAGATCTAAACATCAGCCTCTACCGATTCCTGCACAATACTCATTTCATCGACTAGGATGTCACTTGTCAAATTTTGATTAAATATCGATATGATCCTACTTCTATCTTCTCATGTTATGATTATGTTGTTGGAATTAATGTATCACGAAAAAAATAATTATATTAAGAGATGAAACACATTAAAAGTTTGAACAATAAATCAAATTGATTATAGAATAATAAGTAAAATTAATTATTATTTTTTTTAAAGAAAAATTAATAATCTTTTGAAGAAGAGAGATTTATGTTAAATATAGTAAATGTGATGTATCCATACAGATTATATAAACCACGTAAGTTTCCATTTACTGAAATAAAGAATACTTTATCATATTCTTATTCATGTGTGATCTTTTCTCAATATCTACTTCATTATTTGATATCATAGCTATGTTCATCTTCCAACTTAAAATATCTAGATTGATAAAAAAAAATTATTATATATGGTACATCCAAATAAAGATTCTTTTATGCTCCTGTGAGTTTGTAGAAGATATATTTGTTGAATCAAGAATAAAAAGTAATTAATAAAAAAATAACTTAAGTTGAAGTTAATAATAATATATATATTAAATCTTTATAAATCAATCTTAATCTTACCCACTTCCGACGTGAGACTAATCAAAGTATTACAATTTTTCATACATTATCCTTGTCAAGATTCAACATAACTTGGATCAAATCCTAACATAATATATACGAGGCATAGTCTAATAGTGATTCTGATGAATTCTCAGACTCTATATTCAAATAGCTTTTATCCGCTTGAACCTTTTCATCATACTCAAATACTAATGTTTTGATATTAAATATCACAACATGAACCGAATAGGTAAATTGATCTATCGTTTAGCTTAAATTATTGATCAAAATATCTAAGTTAAAATTAATAATAATATGTTCAGCCATCAATTTTATTCCCAGTGTAATAATAATCACAGACTGTGTTATTAGAGCAAGTGGGCAAGTGATTTAACTAACACATTGCTTTAGAAACGGATAGTCCGAGTACATTATCTTTCGTTCGTTCTTACCATCCAAGGCATTTAACCCAATTCCCCTCTCTAATCTGCACCATGGCTTCTCTTTCAACAGTAGAAGAGTACTTCCACCATCAATCAGCCTCCTTTCTTATGGTTTTTGTAGGGGTCAGTAGAACCAGATACAAATACCTGCCATTACTCCAAAACTTAGCAAAAAACAAATGGGTGGTGAGCACCCCACCGCAACGTAGTTCACAGTAAGTGTTCGTCCTTTTCATAATTAGTCAATTAAAAGCATCTATAATTCATGTATCATCGCATATCTAACAAAAGATGACAATCGTCCACAAAAAAAGTCTTCCAAAAATAACACTTTAGCTCTCATCTTGCCAAGGTTCTCCAAACTAGTTCTACACCCAGCCATTCCAACATGCTTCTTTTTATCTTATGAAACACCATGCTCTTACTAACATCATACTGCCTCTCGTGTAGTGTAGTTCTTCCTGTAATTAATTACATTCGAAATTGAATTAATTTAGATTCGATTAACAAATCAGCTCGAATCGATTTAACAAAGAAAAATCGAGGTGAAAGCTAAGGAACGGAGGACGAGGAGAACCGAAACTAATCGATTTAATAAAAATAATTTTCAAATCATGAGCTTTTCATAGGTTCCAATATAATTTAATGATGATATTTTCGTACAAATGAAACAAAAAAAAGGGTTGCATCCGATAAAAATGAACGGGGGTATATTCCGTAAAAAAACCAATTGTAGGGTGCTATTTGGTTAATTGACCTTTGAGGATGCGCTGAGACTCCTTTATTTTTCGTGTTATGATTTGATGAGATCCATCTCCGTCCTTCCAAATCCAAACCCTGTTTCTCGCTCGCATAGCTAGGAAAGATCGATGGAGACCACCAGCGGCGAAAGGCGCCGAGAAGAGGGCTCATCGAGATCCCTTCCTACCCAGAGGAACGACGACGACACCGAGAAGAGGGGAGGGCTCATCAAGATCCCTTCCTACCAAGAGGTCTTGGGGACCGCAAACTCCTCCTCCCCTAAACCTCACAACCCTTACCCTTCCTTCTCCCAAGTCTTCTTTATCAAATCATCGGAGTTCTACACGCCGCCGCTCCCTTCTCTTCCACCTCCTACGTCCAGTGCCGTTGATCCCCCTCTTTCATCGACGCCGCCATTTTCGTCCTCTCCTGCCGCTGCTTCGTCTTCCTATTCATCGGGGAGCGCGTCGGGTCAGAACCGTAATGCTATCCTTGTAAGCCACCGGCAGGTGAGAGCTTTCCTCTTCTTTGGTTCCGAAAATTTCCTCCTAGTTTAGGGTTTCCCTTTTGTTGCATCACCGGAGTTGAGAAATTTGTCACTTCAATTGGCTTTCTACGCGCAGAAGGGGAATCCGTTGCTCAAGCATCTTAGGAACACAAGATGGACGTTTGCGGACGTTGTGTGCGACTACTTGCTGGGCCAGAGTTCGTGTGCTCTTTATATAAGGTACACACGACGGCTGTTATTATTACTTTTTTTTTTTTTCTCGAGAGCTTTCTTTTGTTTTCTTTTTTGGTAGCATTCCGAAAGTGAGAATTGCGTCTATCATGCTGTAATCGATGGCATTTGTTATAGTCTACACAGTCAACTCTGGTTGGAGCATATGATACTGATTTGCACCAAAATCTATGTTAAACATCTTAGCTCTTCCATTAATTGCATACGTCTGAAGTTTGCATTCATTCTATGATAACATAAACTTCTTCTGTTTATATGTTTATAGTGATATTATTAGAATAACTCCCTCAAATATTAATAAAGAAATGTAATTTCAAAGAAGTGAGGAGTAGTAAAGAACGATACAAGAAAGAGACATTACTTTCTATGATAATTCTTTTAACTATGTGTAATATTCTGCTCAATTGTGCATATATATATATATATATATGTTAACAGACCTTTACGAATGTAACTTTAACAACTGACCTTAATAAAATAATTACCTAAGCCATTTAACAAAGCTGCTTTTTCCTTTTTCTTCCTTTTTTTTCTTTATGGCTATTGATTCATACTGTTTCAAAAACACTAACTTGATTAAGTCAGTTTCAAACAAAATTTAAATTATCTTTCTATCATCCTTTCTTAATTTAATTCTTGTTTGAGACTGACCTAACCAAATTGGTGCTTTTGAGATGATGTGAGTCGGCAACCATAACATAAAACAAAAAAGAAAGAAAAAAAAGAAAAGTTGCCTTTGTAAGGTGGTTTAAATAAATCTTTTATTAAGGCATGTTGGTAAAGTTACATCAGTAAAGAGTTGGTTAATGTCATTAGTAGGTTATATAATATAACATTACCAAGCTAGTAGAATATTTCATATAGTTGAGAAAAATTATAAAAGAGAGTCATTTTATGTCTCTTCCATTTTTTACAAGTAAAATATGCTCATAAGGATAATTTTTAAGTCAATGTACTTAAAGATATGTATATATGAAAGTAGTACTTAAAGATATTTGCTTTAAATCATATAAGATCTTTCATAATTTATGAACTTTCTTTCAATTTTTTTCACAAATTTAGGTGGTTCAAAATAAATTTCTTCTTTTAATTTACAATGTGAAAATACTAATTTATTATCTAATGATACATTGATCAATTATTTTGATCTACAAATAAAATACTAACCTCACTGATTTTTATATATAGCAACTGCTACAAGTACCACATCATAATCTATCGTTTATTGTATTTATAATCTTTTGCTACTACCATCCTATCTCAATTTTGTTCTGTAGATCCACACTACATGCTATCTATCTCCATTTTTCATATTATCTATCTTTAATCTTTAAAGATGCTTGGATCATCATCTACAAGATGTGCAAAGGGTACTAGAACATATTCTACTCCATCATTTGTAAGTTCATAAAAATTATTAAAATAGTCTTTCATCCAACTTAATTGTCTTCTTATTCTTTTGGGATTTCTAGCAACTGATACATATGGTAATATTGAAGGTTCATTTGAAGTTGGTCGACTTGGAGAACCTTTAGCTAGGGATGAATCTCCTTCGAAGTCTGAACGTACTTAGTTGCTTATTTTGTTCCATAGTTTGCTATTTATCTGTATTTTTCAAGTTATCTGTAATAAGTTTATTTTTATCCAAAGTCTACTCGAAAGCAAATTTTGCTCTATATGCTTGCAAGCGCACCTTTATTTCGCACCTTGGTATATTTTCTGAAGGATCGACGAACTATCACGGGATGTTTGGGCTGTAGTGATATAAAAATATTGGATTCTACTACTTAATAAATAAGTTTAATTGCTACTTTATTTTTCTTCCTATGATCTCCCAACTCGATCTTTTGTCTTGTTATGAGAGAATCTTCTTCTTTGCTTGACTTTTTAAAACTTTTATCAACAATATCCTGAATATCTGATATTTGAAACATACCTCCATCCGGAAACTTCAATTATCATAATCTTTGGCAGTGAAGCATGCAATCTGAATTTGAAATATATAGAAAGAAGCATGTCGATGATTTGGATTTGTTCTTCATTGATGTGATGATCAATTCTTCATGGTCATCATCTCATGACCTCTTACACTATCTTTCTCTGTTTTTTCTCTCCTTCCTTGCAGGATCTTAGAGCTCTAATGCTAGATTAGGAAAACACCCTCAAATATTGGGAGAAGAATACAATTTTGAAAAAGTGAGCAGGAAATATAGATTAACAAAGAAAAGTCATAAAATGACTCTTTCTGATAATATTTTTCAACTATATGAAATTAATAACTGACTTAGTAATGTTTCAAACATATAACCTATATGTAAAGATATTAACCGACAATTACTGACCTAACTTTAACAACTGACTTAATAAAAAAAAAAATCTGAACTGACTCACAAAGGCGCCATATATATGACATGTTGTTTTGTGGCTTTGGCCTGCAACTACTCGAAGTTATACTATTAAGCTGTTTGTCAATCTTTTAATGCATGCGCCCACATGAATCTGTTTATATTACATGATTCTGCTGCATCTTGTCATGAAAGTTGCTGAGATTTTGACAATTGCTTGTCATCATTTTGCTCTTTTAATAAGCTTCTGATGTTTGCAGTCTCCGCTATCATTTGCTCCATCCAGACTACTTATACTATCGAATAAGAGAATTGCAAAGGAACTTTAAGCTGCGTGTTGTCTTGTGTCATGTTGATGTGGTGAGCTTAAGTAACTTGTGCTTGCAACTTCTTGTTTTATTTCAATTTTTTCTTTTAGTTTGTCTTACTATATTGACTTTTAACTCACCTGGTTTATTTAGGAAGATGTGGCCAAACCTTTGCTTGAAGTCACAAGGACAACAATGCTTCATGACTGCACACTACTCTGTGGATGGAGGTACTACCAATGCATTTTGCAGTAAATTTTTGTGATTATTTTATATGTAGTTATAAAAATCTGCTGGAGATCAATTGTATGTCAAATTTGATCCACCTTTGTGTTTGTTTGTAGTTGTTCATGTGAATGCATGTAAGCTGTTACTACATGACATTATTTATCAAACATATTGCAGATAGTCTTTCACCAAAAATGCTCAGCTTGAGTCCAAAGTGTAAACTTTGTGATATTGATGGATATATTAATAAAAATAGTCAAATGCTAAATTTCTTGAAGCAATACATGCTATAGCTCATTCCTTGGCAACCTGTAGAACTTCAAATTCACAATTACTTTGTTCTTTGTTCTAGAAAGGTTCTCTCGGTAGTTTAGCATTGTATGACAGTTTCTTTAACCATTTATATACTATAGACTTCCACTCAAACTAATTTTGGGATGAATTGGAGTTAAAAGAAAATAATATCATTTACAACAAATATGAAAATAAATGATGTGATAATGTATCATTAGCACATCTTGGCTTGTAATTTACCTTTGGCGAGGGACAAAAATATCCACACTATTGTATAAGTAGGATTATTTAAGTTCTACCATTCTAATAATGATATACATGTTGTGCTAGTAGAAGTATCTAGCATTATACAAAGAGAAAATCTAATTTTTGAAAAGGTACTTTTGTACTCCTTTAGTGTTAAATAAGATTCTAATTGTCTGGTTAGGATGTTGATTTAGAGCTAAATGTTGTCAAGCTTTGCATTTGTCTTAGTGTGAGATGGTGTTAGACCAAGAGGTTACAAGTTTGTCCAGTTCAAAATGTGTTGCACAGCTACGTTGGAGGCATGTGCAACAAAGCATCTCCAAAACTGAAGTTAGCTTTCGAGTCAATGGTGTTGGTTGAATGTCGAGTAGTAAGAGCCAAATGTACTAAAGAATGAGTCTCCTCGCAGAATGTACTCGAGGGACCTTTTTGTAGTGACGTTTAGGACTGTTGCACTTGAAGTTGTAACTTATCATGGTTTAATGTCGAAAATTATCATCCATCTCCTTGGGTGTTAGGTATAATCATGCTGCATCAAATTCAGAGAATATAGTGCAGTTGTGAGCTGGGTCGTAACGTTCAGAGAACTTGTGTTAGCCATGTGACAATGAGGTGTCAACCACGTGGTGTCAAGGTGTTGGCCACATGGTGTTTGGTGTTGACCATGTGGTACTGGATGTTGGCCACATGGTGTTGAGTTGTCGACAGTCCTTTTGTCGCCCCCTATTGTGCTTCGACGTGTAGAGCAAAGATGGGGCACGATGCAATTTTTGTTACTACTGACCATGAGGAAGACGATTTAGTCACACTGTCGTCAAAAGATCACTTTGGGTCAATTCAGTCGTATCGTTGAAAAAACGGTTTGAGCTAATTCGACAATGTTGTCATCGAAGTAGTGCCTTGGGCCAGTTCGATCATGCTGTCATTGAAAGAACACTTAGGGCCGATTCGATCATGTTGTCATTGAAATATCACCTTGGGTCGGTTCAGCCATGTTGTCGGACTTGGGAGTGTTGGTTGATTCAGTATGATTGTACCGCTTGAAACTTCTTTTGTCGTCAATAGAGTTAGGCCACATGGCAAATGAGTTGGCATATCTGCTTATACATGTGAGCTGTCATCTTCGCCTTGGCTTCCCGTAGGTGTGCAGTTCAGTGATTGCATCGGATCCAGTTGGATATGATTCCTAGCATTTCGTAATGATGGCCTAACATCCTCTATACTTGGCATATTAAGGAGCTCCATGTGATCGTCTATCAAATCGTCATGATTTGAAAGGTTCATAATTATGGCTTTGGATCATACTTGCCTAATTAGGTGTTGCCACCTTAATTATCCAAGCATACCATGGGGTAAACAAATTGTTGATGGTAACCCAAGGGTCATTTAGCCCCTATAAACATTGACCTTGGCCTATTCGTTCACCTCATGTTTCAGATGCTTTAGAGGATTTGGGACTTCCGATTCGGCATATTCAAAGAACTTCGAGGTTCGTCTTACAAGGTTTGAATGTGTTTCTATTTATCTTACTCCAGCGGTTCGGACTCAGACGGTTGGCAAGTTTTGTCGTTGCCTTTAGTGTTGGTAAGGTAAGCTTCCTCATCTAAAGGGGTTGAAGTTGCACTTTTGAGAGAGGCTATCCCTTCAGTGGTGAATCCCTCGAGTAGTAGGATTTTGTAGTCCTTGATTGAGTTTTTTAACTTAGACTCTTGAATTTATACTTCCAACCATGTTATAGAAGCCTTCCACATCCCAATTGAGTTCGAGTTAGTAATTGCTTGTGCTGGTGATTGGTCCTATTCGTCAAATCACTATTTATGCACGGGCATTGATGTACCAGATGGGGAATTCAGTTTCATCTACTCAATCTACTTTAGGGTTTCAACTTTCTCTCTATCTGATCTGGTCATAAAGTTAAAAGAGCATTGAGCTCCAACATGCGCTAAAAGAGAAGGTACTTTTTTTGTTTCTTCAAGGAGAGGTGGCCTATTAGATTGTCTTAGGCCATTTGGAAGTTTTCCAATACTGTCCACCCTCGAGGTTGCATGGGCTACAGGATCAATTTCGTCGGATTATTTTAGCTTTGGCCGAGTCATCGCTTTCTTTCATGAGTGAGCAATGGCTCGTGGATGTAAGTATCAACCCTATGTCTCGGGGTTGGTATCTACACCTTTCACCTTTTATTCCTTCAACTTAAACTCGATGTTAATTTCTCCTTTGGTGTGCTACAAACAAATCTTAGAGGAATCATCCTCAAGGCCGCATCGAGTAAAGGTCTACATGACACACCCTTCCTGATCATTGCATCTAGAAGAGTAGGCAACCCAAGAGCAAGGCAGAGACTAGGCCTCAATGAATGTTCGAGCTTCCTTTAGGCCTCGGATCTACCAACCTAGAATGCTTGAAGATGAGAGGAGGGCCTTGGCATAAAACTTGGCAAATAAACGTCAGGCAGGTCCTCCACCATCACCAACCAACGTTGAAGGATGAGTAAGCTTCCTCTTTGGCCTGCCTAAATGAGCGGGTTGCTCCCACCTTACCAAGGAGGAGTCCTCCAAACCTACCGAATCCTCCCACGCTAGGTCTCGGCATGGGGAGCAACACTAATAGTTGGAGGGCTGAGACCTCCATCTTCCTCGGCACGCACCGGCATCTATTGCCCATAAGTTTGCTCAATCAAGCGGACTTCATTATGTTGTGAATTGGCGCCGAGTTGATCCAAAAGGGGTGAACATCCCCTCTAATTAAATTGGGAGATTACCGTGTCTAGCCGACCCTAGGAGTTTCTACGGGAGGCTGCCCCAGTGGAACTGGGGAGTAATTTTGGGTCTAGCGAAGTGCTTGTACGTGAGGTCCAATGAGGACCTCGTGACTGATACGCACAAGAATGCCATTATTGTAAGAAACTATAGATCGAGACTTTTTCCCTTGAATTTTCTAGGTTGTATCAAACTTGTCTTTTTTTGCAGAACCACCATATCATGACGATGCTTGTTAATTGAGCCTGAGATGCCTCGATTACTATGTTTGCCTTGATGAGTGAGCGAGACGACTTAATGAATAAGGCAACCGAGTGGGACTTTTATCATGGAGGAGTTATAGCAGGATGGTGAAGTTGAAACACAACTAGTGTCAGAGCTCTAGAGTTGGCTGGAGGTGGTCAGATAGGTGATGGAGGAAGCTCGGGCTGACAAAAGTTGAATCTACGAGATGGCATTGAAGGCCCAGTTCGAGATCACCTCCCTCCAGTCCGAGGTTGCATCCCTTCAGTGCATCATGGAGGGCCTTGCCAATCAACTCCAAGCCGAAGAGGCCTATCAGTCTAAGTACAAGGTTGAAGGGATGACCAAGTACAAAGTGTCCCGAGGGTTTGAGAAGGGGTTGACCTGATTGTCATACAACACTTTCGATTTTGGGTATCAACTAGCAATCTTCTGGACATGCTTTAACCACCTTGGGCAGGCACTTCCCAGAGACCCAAAGTTTAATGCCTTATCGACAATGATGTTCCCTTTGTCAGATCGGATGGAATCAATAGTCGCGTGAGTCTTTATCTCTTGTGGAAGGTGAAATCGAGCTTGGTGAGGAGGTGGAGGCAATGTTAGCTGGGGGACGACGTGGTTTTCCTGAGACATGCTTAGAGAGGCTCTCCTAGCGCCAATTTGTTAAGGCAAATTATGGTTGTTCAATTAAGATGTTGATTTGGAACGAATCGAGGTCCTACTAAGCATTTGTCTTAGATGGTGTTAGACTAATTATCTCCAAGCCCATCCAATTTGGAATGCATTGAACCTTGCAAAACTATATCGGGGCCATGCTCGACATAGCCCCTCTGAAGCTTAAGTTGGCTTTCAAGTTAGTGGTGTCGACTAAATCCCGTGTTTGTAAGAGTCGAATGCACTAGAGAATGAGTCTCCAAAAGAACGTATATGAAGGATCTTTTTATAGTAAGGTTTAGGACCATTGCATTCGAAGTTATGATTAAATGTTCGAAATGGTTTGCCTGATGTTGGGTGTAATCGTGATATGCCGAATTCAGATAAGCATGGTCGTGTGTGGAATTTGGAGAAGCATGGCTGTGAACGGGTTGTAACGTTCTGAGAGAGAAGTTGCATCATCTACTTGGCAACGAGGGGTCGGCCATATGGTGCTGAGGTGTTCGGCCACATGATGCTAGGTGTTGACCATGTGGTGTTGAGGCCACGTGATGTTGAGGTGTCAACCATGTGGTATTGAGGTGTCTACAGACCTTATAACGTTATGCCCATATCATTTAGAAAAAGGAGAGGCTTGATCAATATATCATCTTCTATGCACCTTTTTCAGCTCATCCCTTGATGAATGAGAAACTCTTTTTCCTGCAATTGAATCTAACCTTGTCAGTTCTTTTTAATTCAAAACCATGTAGATATTCAAGCATATCTTATTAAATTTATGTCAAATTTTAAAGTAAGCCAAGAAAAAGGAAATATTATTGTGGGCATTATGGATTCTTGCTGTTGTTTTTGCAAGAAAAAAGTCAGTAGTCTTGTGGATCTTCTAGGAATCATACTTCACAACTAACTTTCTTTCCAATTCTTTCAAGGACAACTATCACATTTTGTGGTTGTCGATGATTCGTAAAACATGACCATTAAGTTTTTATTTTATTATTTTGTTATGTTTATGTGGCAATTTATTCAGTTCAGAATCGATGTTTGTTTTTTTGAGAAATATTCTCAACTTATCTGGTATTTATTGTATTTTTGTGTGGTATTTTCTCAAAAAGAGGTTATTTTTCTCTTACAGACACTATTTCTCTCTGGCATTTCTTCTCAACTGACATATCCACCTATAAATGCTTTTAGTTAATGCAACATGAAAGAGATCAAATATTAACTTATTGTCTTATTTTTCTGACAAGGAGTTGTCCATGTTGCATACATTGTGTAAAAGCTCATTCAGGTAGTGAGTATTTCACAACTTTTCTGCAGGTTTCTAGTTTCAAACTTTCTATTTATGGAGATTTGAAGAAATCTGTGAAGGTTGCTTATAGTTTAAAGTTAGAAATTCTTTTTATATATAGAATTGCAGAATTTTCTTGAAATCCTCTTTCATTTGTGTCTAGCTACTCTTTTGGTATAATAGGTGCAGCTTAGGTGGAACACTTTGAAGAATGTGTTCGGTACTTGGAAACATTTTGTTTCTTCTTAGCTACTCTTTCATTTCTTTTCCTAACATTTTGTTTCTTCTTAGCTTTGAAGAATGTGGTCGGTACTTGGAAACGTTAAAAGTCTATGAAAACAAACCCTCTGATAGCATCCGAGAGCAAATGCACAGCGACTATCTTTCACGGGTATTTTTTTTTGCCCAGATTTTATATACTAGCAAGGTCACTTTTTCTTTATTGGACACATGCAGAAAAAAAATGAAAACCTTCATTGAAGTATACATATATATGAGTACCTCTAAGATTCCACTGATTTATCATAAATTTCGTGATGTTGACCGTAGGAAGTTTCTTTAACATGCAAGGGCACATAATTTCAGATCAATGCAATTTTCCAAAACTGCAGGCACCAACAGTTACTTTTATGTTACTTTTTCTAATCAATTGACATTTATACTTTCTACCTTAATATATAATTTTAACTTAAGTTATGATGAATTTCAGATTTTGTTTTGCATGTTTTGATTTAGTTAAATGCTGATCTGCAGTTAACTCATGCACTTACAAGCATTCGACATGTTAACAAGACTGACGTGGTAACACTTGGTTCAACTTTTGGGGTAAGCTTGAAAGTTGAATTTTGTCTGATGTATCCTTTATTTTTTACATCTATTCGTCTGAGTATGCCCTTATGAAAAAAATAATACATTAATTTGCAACTTTTGACATACTTTTTCATCTTATGGCTACTAGATGAATCAACGCATAGTACATCTGAATACTTAATGAGCAAGATAAGTGCTCATTGTTCCCTAAATCTTCATATATGACAGTCCCTTTCGCATATTATGGATGCTTCCATGGAAGACTTAGCTCGTTGCCCTGGCATTGGTGAACGCAAGGTACTTCATCTTTTTTGGTGAGACATGGTTATTCTACATATTATTTTTTTAAGAATATATATTTTTAATTTGTTTTTCAAGTTGAATATCTGAATGGCTAAACAGTTATACTAGCTTCCATTTCTGTTTGGATAATTAAACTAAGGACAACTATTTTCTGTATGCAAGAGTAATGGCAATATTTTATGTTTATCCTTCTTTGTCATTTTTCATCACTATGATAGGAGAAGTGGTGGTTGATTGATCATTCTAACTGCAAAATAGATGATTCCAGTCAGTCAATGTTTCTAGAAGTTTGCTTTACTTAATACTGAAATTTGGCAGTGCATTTTCCAGATGACTGAATTCTGTTTAAAGCATTTGGTGGTGCATTTTCTAGAAGTTTGCTTTACTTAATCCTTCTTTTCTGCTGGATGTCTGGAAGACTTTTGTGCATAATTCTGTTTAAAGCATTGATATTATATTGCATTTTGACAAAGTAGGTAGTCACTGCTAGCAACTGGATTCTGCTGCACACTGCAGAGCATATCCTGCTTCTTATCATATCTAAGATTCATAGGTGGGTTTAGAATCTGACAAGGAGTAAAGATTTAAATCAGCTAGGATCCATTCAATTCGGCTGAGAGATTTGTCATAGGACTGAACATCCAGATCAACTTGAATCTAGCCAAATTCAGTTGATCCTAACATAGACCAATGAGAGGATGGTCGAATGATGGGCCCCACTATCTGTTGGTCGGGTTTGGTTGAAAACCCTCAAGCAATTGCGGTTTTGCAATTAGATGTCATTTCCAACCAAGACTGGGTTTGGGATCGGGTTTGGCTGATTTCACTAACCATGGTTGTAAACATCATACTCTTCTTAGGACTGGCCATTTTCAGGCAAATTATATTTTCACCATAAGTAGGATTTTTTTCTTCTTGCGTCATAAGGCTTTCTCCTTCTGTTTCTATCATAACATTATCTTTTAAGATTTATCTTTTTTACAGCAATTATTACAGGATTTCATCGGTAGGAAATAATTATGATATCTAGTCTTTACAGTTCGATCATGACAAGCTATCCATTAATTCTAATTATTGTGCAACTTGACTATATTTTCTCGACCCAGTGCAGATCTTTCCCATGGTTCTTTAGTTTGAGTTATAGCTCATTTTTTACCTTTATAATTCATTGTGATCGCATTTTTGATCATTTATCTACATTTTTATAACAATATAGAAAAACATGATTGAAAAATCTCAAACTTCCACATTAAGATGCTGATGGTTGTTGTAACCACAGAACCTGTAAGTCTTACACAAGGATCTGGTGATTCGGAGATTTTTGTTGGCAGTAATTTGAAAATTAGTAAGTTTTCTCCACCTCTTGTCTCATTGGTGGTTTATTATTGATTAAGCCAGTGAGAAATCTTAAAAATGGTTCTCTCTGATTGATACAACCGAGTGCTTGGGAATGTTGTTCAATCTATTTCATCCTCTTTTACTATGGAACATAAGTTTATGATGCCTAGCAAAGATTAGCTCTTTTAAGCTGGTGATTTTGTTTTTCAGATAGCTGAAAAATTATTCAATGAAAAAGGATTAAGATAGAGGAAGCAGGAAATTGAAGAGGTGAGGAATAAGGGTCCATGAATCAAGGTCTAATTGGGCATGATGTTCTAATGCGCCATTACTGTTGGCTGTTATGTGGTAGATTTAATCTCAGCAGGTCGCTTTACTGGATGGAATGGTTAACTGGTCAAAGTGACACCAGTTGGACTTGTAGGACGAGTAGGTAGGTGGGAGAAATCTATATGGACATGTCTAGGATTCCTGTTGGTTTAGATGACCCTTCTAATCGGACAATAGATTTTAATGATTTGTTACTATGATTTGGAATTGCATGGTTGGTTTTACCCTTTTAGATTGTCATCCAATTCTTATGGTTGGGGTTGAACTTGAAGCTCTTAATTGCAGGTGAAGCGCTTGTACGATACTTTTCATGAACCTTTCAGACATGTCTCCGGTCAGCCTACTACTATTGTTCCCGAAACCCCCATCAGGGATAAAAATGATGAACCTACTACTTCCACACATAATGCGGTTGAACCGGAGGGGCAAGGGCCAACTGCATCTAAACCTAAAAAAGATACTAATCTTAGCGTTAGATCAGCCCTGACTGCTGCCTTTGCCAAGTATCCCAGAAGGGTCGGGAAACAGGATATGAAAAGCACCTTGCTCGAACAAGGAAAATACAGCAGTACGGAGGCCTCAAAAGATGGAGAAAACTGAGGTTTGTTAAACGATAGTGGCAAGAAGATAAGCCAGGATGATGATGATGAAGAAGCCATGAGTTTGTTACTTTCTACATTCATCACACATGCACAGCCTGCCTTCCTGCATTTATGTTGTACAAACTGTTGATGACTTAATATTGGTTTCTGGCTACGGTGCACAACTATTGTAGCTTTAGTTCCAGCACAATGGTAGATTCTTTTTATCCTATATATGACGAAAAAGGTTGCTTGATGCTCTTCTTGCCTGCCTTTTTGCATTTGATGAGTTCCCATATATTTTTCGTAGTCAAGAACAGATGCAGTTGCTACTTCAAGGTAATAAACATAAGACAGGCCAAAGGTATAATTTTCGTGGTAGACATGGTAGTATATCAGCTAGCGAATTCCTGTGTCTCAAAGCCGTCTTCATTATCATGTACAGGTATTCATGTTTACAAATCCAATCAATTAGTAAGACAGTAATGGTGGTGTCTTCATTATATTACGTACAGTTATTCATGCTTACATATCCGATCAATTAGTCTGACAGTAATGGTGGCCTATCCGAGGTAAAAGTTAACCTTACTACCAAAGAAGTTGGTTTTCCTTAATTAAAAGAAAAAAAACTTCTCTTAAAGCACATCATACTCGCAAAGAGAAGTTGTCAGCGAAAGACCGAAGAAGTGGTAGGTGTCAGCAAAGATGGGCAGATAGCCGTCATATTAATAATACGCCCGAAAAGAATGACGGCTAATAACAGCATAACAACGACGCAACACTGTTCAAGCTAACTCCTAATCGACAACTGTAGTACTTGGAAGACGACGAGGCTCTAACGAGAGAGTGACACATCAATTTGACACACACGTTATGAGATGTCTGGTCGTGCCAATCTCTGGTGCCACATACAAAAAGCCAGCGAGTCTCTATGTCATGAAAATTCCGTGTTATGAATTTTGCCAAACACAGATGTCGATGGATCAAGAAAACCGCCCCCCACCCCCGCCCCCTAGTCAGAGTGACTTTTATCCAATTCAACGGGATACCAAATCCCAGTGAAATCAAGAAAACCCCCGTAGTCCGGAGTTAAAACAAGCAATAGCATATGCACAATTAAGCTATGATCCAGTGGATAAATTTCAAAATGTTAAAACCTTGAAATGTCCACTTCTTTTTATAAACAATGTTTTGCCCATAACCGATTCAGCATAGCCTCTCAAATTGCTAATAATATTGGTTCATGCTATTAATATTGGTTCATGTATTGGTTCATGTGCAGACAAGTTGCTAATAATATTGAAGGTTCATGCTATTATTTGTCCATGTGCAACCTGGTTTTAGATCAACCACCTTAGACAAGCTTCAACGAGATCATTGATCAAAGAACCACAATCCTAAAACAAATATGAAAACATGAAAATTGATGAATTAAAGTCTGCACTTGTAAAAACAGATGAAGCCTTAAGACAAACCCAGTGTATAAAGGACAAATAAAAACTACGAGTACCAAGGGGAAGCAAGAGATGAGATCATTCAATCTTGTCGTGAAGCGTCACCACCAGGTCATGGGCATCATCCAAAAGCTTCCAGACATCCAGCTGTCCAGCCATGCTATTGCACTCTCGTAGAATTTCATCCATGCTGCTGTACATCTCAATGATCAACTTCCTCCTCTGCAGCACCGAGGCTGCGATGGCATACAGCAGCAAGTCCTCTGTGGGAGGGGCGCGCAACCTCATTCTCCCCCAAGCTGACTTCCCATATCCTACCCGAATTGCCGCCTGATCTGCCCACATTACCTCCCAGAGGCAGAGTGTCTGCTCGAAGATGAGCTCCCTTCGGAAAACAACCACCACCATTCTGTAGACAAAGAAGCAGTCTTCAGCTTGAAGCTTCTCCAGGTGCTGATACAGGTGTGAGTCCTTGAACTTGATAATCTTGGAGACTATGTTCAGTTGCCTCCGGATGCCTACCTCATCAAGCCTAAAATTGTGCCTAGCTTTCTTCATAAAACCGACAAAACACCAAAATGCCTCATGGTCCTCCTCCATGACAGCAAGGATAGGGGTCAAAAGATCACTCATACCTTGGCAATAGCCAATCTCAGGGTCATATAATGCATATGCCTCAAGAATGGCAACAAGACGTGCAGCATGGTAGATTCTGCATGGTTCCAAATCATCATAATCTGTCAAACCGACAGCACCAGCAGACTGGAGGGCTTTGACCTCAGGGATTGCAGCTTGAGCTGGAGAGTAGGCAATCCACTCTGCATTGGCTCGGATGGCATCTAGACGGATGATACGTTGCCATGTGGCAAAATCCTCAGCTGTTCGATTTGCCTTAGTGATGTTTCCCTTGACTGAAGATATCTTTGCAAATCTGCAATCCATGTTTGGTTTTGCAGGAGAGGACATCAGCATGCTTTCAGGTTCTTCGATGGAGGACTTACTGTCCGATGATTCCGTCTCATCTTCAGATACATCCAAATGAGTGAGACCACTGTTGACATCTTCATCCACGGTGGTTAAGTTGGAAGCAAATATTTCCTTGACTGGTTGCTCTAAAGTTCCATATTCTGTGCTTCCTTGTTCAATTGAGAGTGACTCCTGGGCACAATAAACTTCTTCGGAACACACAGAATCACATCCTTCCACAAAACAAGGACTGTCGGCATTACCCATTTCAACTATTTCTTTTAACTCCTTGTGATCATCCCTGCTAAGTTTCAAATGTTGCTGACACCGCCTCCTTAGTTTCTCATATTCTTTCCTGTACAAATAGTGCAATAATTGGTATGTTAGCCTCAAGGTACCAGCAGCCAAAAGTAAATTCATAAGAATTAGAGATCGCCCTATCCTGGTGAACAAAGAGGAGCATAACTGCTCAAAAAATCACAGACAAACATGTATGTGCATGTATAACTTATAAAAACTGGAAATAATTAGAGGAGGAGAATAGGCTGAGTACCTTTTTTGGACTTGAATGGCATTTCTTTCAGCCCTTGAACTGTTCATGTCATAGCTGAACAAAGAAGCAAGACAATCAAACCACTGAATAGCTTCTAGTAGTGCCACCCAAGTTTAAAACCTATCAAAATATAATGGAAGAGAATACAAGACAGAGAACTACATATTATGAATCTGGTGTCTAAGAAAGCCATGAGATCTAACGTTTTTGTTCAGGACAAGATATTTTAAACTTCATTAACATTTTGGCATGCAAGAGCTGTACAAAATTTGAAAACTTAAATGACATTGGACCTGACTTGTATCATGAGGTTGTGCACATCCAATCCACCTAGAACCATAGTAGCAAAAGTCTAGTGCACTCGGCTACCCTAATATTTACTAATTTAAAAGAACTTGATGAAAATATAAGATACTTGGATATGCCATTTAAATGTGAATATGAGCTTTTTCTCTCATTCTTATGTAATAATTCTTTTGATTTGTCCTGATTGTTGATGTAGTATGCAGTATTTTTTCATCAAGCAAATCCAAAATAACATTACAAGGTTGTTCACTTTGTGCGTATTATTCTTTTTTGACTTAAACATGACATCTCATTGGTTGTGATATGGTCCTTTAGACATTCCATGTTCATGTCTATTAGATGCATGCCTGGTGCAAGCCTTCGATAAGACAAATGAAACATGTTGTCAGTGGGGTATTAATTTCTTCTATTGGTATGTACTAAAGCTAAGCAGTGTTCTTGGTGGACCATTGATGAGGGCTTCTATGGGTAACCTGCCTTATTTCCAGCAACTCCAGTCAATGGTTACCTATTGGATGATGAAGTGGCAGTCATATCAATGCCTACTTGGCATCATTCTGACCCAGAGATGGTGTTGGCTGAAGAGAACTTATCACATAATTTACGAAGGCAACATTCCTAATATGCAGGACAACATGCAATCCTAACTCAGAAGGTTTTCGAGTTCTTAAAGCAACTAGTACTGTAGCGAACAGGATTGGGAATACAATAGATAGTTAAAGGAGGCTTCTGAACAAATCAGAAGATCCAAGCCTAATTTCAGTAGGACTGCAGCAGCCTACAAGTTGGAAACCAACTGCAACAAATCACAGAAGACTAAGCATGCTTCTACCAGTGATTTCATAAGGCACTCGGGTGCTCGCCTAAGCGCGTGGGCGAGGCAAGGCGAGGCGAGGCCCAAGCGCCTCGTTTAATGTCCAGGTAGCACGCTTCAAAGAGGCGCCACCTCGGCACTTTGCTCGAGCCTAGGAGTCGGGCGCTTTAGGCGAGCGCCTGGTTTAAACCAAGCGATCGAACCAACTTTTTGGGTCTGGTTCGGTCGCATTTGCGTTAGTTGATTCACAGCCGCCCCCTCGCAACTTCCCCCAACCCCAATCCTACTCACGATTCCGCCGCCAACTTTTCCTCTCTGTTGTCGCTGCCTCTCTTAATTGTCGTTGCTCTCCGCTACCGCCCGTTGTTGCTTCCACTGCTACTGTCGTTGCTCTCCGCTGTCATTACCCCTGCCACTACCGTTGCTCTCTGTTGCCACTATCGTTGCTCTCAGACAACAACCTCCTGTCCGCAACTCAGTTCTCACCGTGACTCAGCTTCTCACCTCGGTCTCCTCACACTCTACCGTTAACAGTAGAGAATATTTTTAAAATATTAAAATATTTTAAGATTTTAAGACTTTAATATTTTAAAATATATTTTTTATATTTTAATATTTTAGAGCGTCTCGGGCGTTTTAAAATCTTAACGCCTTTTGGCGCCTAACGCTTTTTAAATCACTAGCTTCTATTAGCCCATAGGCCATGATATCCCGTAACAAGAAGTCTAATGGCCTGACTATCCAAACTCTAACTATATAGACAGATTATATAGACAATCCATAAAGTTTGTACGAACGGGTTAGTGGAACCCATTTGAGGTTTGACTTAGGCTGTTTGACCCCTAAATAATGTAAGGGAGCAACAAAAATGTTCGGCTTCATTGATGGATTATTTTAGACTAGTTCAAGTTCGTAGTTAGATCAAGAGATTTGGGCAATAGCATCCTCGTAAAAAAATGTGCTTGTACTACATCTTCTCTTCTATATAACAAACTGTTTGGTTTAGTTAATTAGTCATCAGTTCAAATTCGGCTCATGCTTGGACTACATCTTCTCTTCTATATAACAAATTGTTTGGTTTAGTTAATTAGTCTTCAGTTCAAATTCGAGAGGCTTTTTTTTCCACCTTAAATCAGAGAAGTAAGACATACAGGCAGCACTCT